GCCCGGAGCCCCAGCCTCCAGCCACTAAAACTCCTGTGTTCTGGGCTAGGCCTTCATAGCAAGGTGAAGGAATTTGAGGCAGATCCACACCCTGATGTTCCTCCTTTTCTTCCACCCTGGGCTGGAGCCACAAGCACCAGGAAACTCTGCCCCTGCCTTGTCTTCACCTGGAGGCTCTGCCCCCGCAGCTCCTATTGGCTGGGAATCCTGGCCAGTGGAAGCTGTAGGAGGGTAGGGTCTGTGGGCAAACATGGTGCTGTGTGGGCTGCATGGAACTACCTATTCATTCCCTGCCCCCCCGCACACACCAAATGGGAGCTGCTTCAGGTAAGTGCCCTGCACTCCAATCCTGTGTCCTAAGCCTCTTCCTGCACCTAAGTTCCTAACATCTTCCGAGACCCCACACCTGAACCCCAGCCCTGAGCTCAGTCCAGCACTTTAACTCTCACCTACACCCCACCCTTCTGCTCTGAGCCTGCTCCCATACTCCAAGCCCTTTGTCACTAGTGTAGAGCCTCCTCCTACACCCCAAATGCCCCATTCCCAGCCTGCACCCTCAGTTGGACCCCTTGCTCCCTCCCACACCTCCATGCCTCAATTCACAGCCTCCTCCCGCAAACTAAACCCCTCATTTTTCCCCAATGTGCAGACTATGGAGCCCCACAAAATGTAATAGTCCTGGCCCTGATTAATTGTACAGTAACTTTCCTAATGGATTCGCTTAAGATTCCTTTGTCCTGTTTGCTTTGATGATCTGATAGAAGGTGGTCACTGGCCAAATTAATAAATGTTCTTGCCCTGAGCCATAGTTAGATGGGTCAAAAGTAGTGTGTGGCCAGACTTATCTCAACCATTGGTTGAGCGGCACACCAATTAGCATCTATAATGAGTGTTTGATTACTGATTTAAGACTAGGATGCATTAATAACCAGTGACAATGTAAAATGTGTTCTGAAGTAGCTGCCGTTTTGACTTTTACAAAATGAAATGAATTAAAAACATATTAAATCCCTCTCCGTCTTGGCATTTAATTTAATTTAATAGTAGATATTTTATAGAAATGAATTTAAATTCTCAGTCATTTGTTTCTAAATTATGGGGGGCTCTTGGAACAAATATACAAACCAATCAGAATGAATGCCATAGCAATAATGAAAGTAAGAACATATCCTCTGAGTGGTTCGTTGTTCTTCCCATGTCCTTTAGCGAAGAAGTGGAGTGCTTTGTAGATGTTATCCTTGCAAAGAGCCTGGTAGATAAATCAGAATTTAATAGGGTTTTTTTGCAGCAGAAAAAGTTACTTCATAACAGAGAAAACTGGCCCAAAACAACACATGCTTCAGGTAAGAAATAATTATATCTATCTCAGGTATTTCAATGGAGTTTATCATGGTATCTAAGCACTGAAATAAGGTGATAATCAATGCCCTACAGTATAGTATAGTAGCTAATCAGAATGAGTGATGCTTAACACTCACTCAGTTTGTTACAGACACTTACCAAATAAGTCTCTCAAAATCCAAGGGAGAGAAAGCTAACTGAGGGAAACTGAGGCACAAATTAGTGACTTATCTAAATCACACAGCAAGTCTGTACCAGAGCTGGGATTTAATAGCAGGAACCCCACAGCTCTTTCTTCTCAATCCCCTAGTAGACCATGCCTCTTGCTATAGTAAAATAATTAGACCTTTCCAAATATTGTATATTACTGCTGGTAAGAAGATATAGTTCAGATAATTACATATCTTGGGAGCAGAGTAGGGTAGAAGGAAATTGATGCTCTTTATTGTACCTGGAAAACTTTGGGTGCACTGACAAGTGAGGCTAGAGCTGATGAGAGGGTTGCAGAAAAGATTCCTGCAGTGATTAGAGGACCAAAACCAGAAACCATGCTCATAACCTTTAGAAACAACAAAAGTAAAGAACTGTCAGTCTTGTGAATAGGATACATCTATCCATCATAGCTATTTATATGATCCCAGTTACCAGAGTGCCTCACCACCTCATCTGCAAAACCCCCTTATGAGATAAGGAAATAACAGCTCCGATTGCAATTCAGAAACTGAAGGCATAGAAAGACTAGGAGCCAGGTATTGAACAGGTATTTCTGTGCCTAACTCTCATTGCAATCAGCATAAAACCTTAGCAGTGACCTTAGCAACTTAAAGGAAAAATAACTTCTCAAATGTATGCAATGTAGGGCAACCTAAGGTTACTTTAAGGCTTTTCACTAGAGTGTCAGCTTCATGATGCAGGGGCATGGACTGCTTTTTAATATCTTTGGGAGGCAAAACTAAAAGCCTTATGAAGTGTTGAAGAGAGCTCTTGAGTGTTGTAGGCTATGTGATAGTGGCAAGCAATGTAGGAGACTTATCTCTTTGTAGCTTACTGCTACAGTTTTCAGGATTTGAGTTAGGGGTGTTCGTCTTGATGCAACTTTAACAGTCAGTAAACAAAGTTTGTAGATTTATAATGTGAGTGCATCATTTTGTGTGTGCTTGCATAGTTTATGATTTTGTGTTTATATAAATAAAACACTTTAAAACCTGGAAATTGTTCATCAGCCCATAACGACATTCCTGGACTTTACAGCTGGAAAAGTCATAGCCAAGGCTACAGGCTGAGGATCCATTACAGTTAATTCCAGATACAGCTGTGTCATTGGTGTTCCCAGTAGCATCACGTACAACACACGCAGCTGAGGAAACAACAGCATATGATTATTTCTCTTTCTTATGACAATCAAAGAATGTTCTCTCCACACTTTAGAGCTTAGCTGCATGGACAGTGTACAAATGGCAGTTTTATCCCGCATAGTATTACTTTTCAGTAGGATAAGTTCACTTCTCTGGATTGTGAACTTGAACAGAGGCTACCAGAATGTGATTACCAGATTTGGAATACAAATAGGGCAACGTACAGCACTTCTATGTTTCATAAATGCCCAAAAAGTTATAAGACTTTGGTTTTCTCTCTCCTATGAAAGGAAGTTTCCCACAGGGCTCTAGCACACATACCTGTTCAGGGGAGAGGATTGCCACTTACTAAATTGTTTCTAGCAGCACTATTAAAAAAGAAAGAAACCTTTATTTCTTGATCAAAGATTTAGTGCACCCTTTGTAATGAGAATGTAACTTAATGTTTGCCTTCCACAGATGACAGATACAGTACAAATCTGTGTTCTGTACTGTGTCTGTTTTGTTGAACTGTCATTTCAAAACTCCAGTGCCATAGGGCATCTTGTGACCTAACATTTCTTCTTTAGGGAAATAATTGATTTCTTCTGTCTTGAGATGTGAAGATTCAGATTTGCATGTAACCTTTCACTAGTATGTGCAGTAATACGAGCAGGAGAACAGCTGGAGGCCACTTGGAGAACTTTCATATGAAAGAGGAGCAAAATCATGGGCAGATTGATTTGTGGTACTATTCCTGCCTTTTAATCCCAAATTGCTTTTTTCTTATGTTCAGAGCCCTGTGCTGATACAAAATATGTATCTGCATCCACATCCATATCTGCAAAAATGAGCTGCAAATATCTGCAGCCATATCCTCTGATTTGCAGGGCTCTGCTTATGGTACTGTACATAAATAGTCTTTATTTCTGAATCGTTTGATATTGTAGATTTTCTTTACAATAGAAGAAGAATCTCTATGCACATATGTAAGCTAACATTTGGTAAAATTCCATCCAGATGCCATATAGAGATTTTTGTTTTTATGGAATAGTTTGTTTTGCATTTTAAATACTATCAAGCCAAAACAGCTGTCTTTCTACATAGCAAATCCTCTGGATCAAAAGAAATGATGAGGTTGACCATTCATATGCCTGTAGAGCTCTAAACCTACTTAACTATATTATCTATGGCATAAAAGAGATGTTCATTACTTACCTGCACATATTGCAACTCCTAGGTAAGCAACAGTTGTAATCAGAATGGCCAACATTGTTCCCTTGGGTATAGCATCTTGTGGGTCCTTAAAAATTTTAATTGCAAAGATTATTGTGAGTCCTTTATGTATTTGTCAGTTAAGAGGTTATATTCTGATTATTTACAAATTAGCAAGTTTTGGTACTGACACTTGGTGACATGAAAATATTTGGAGGAGGGTGGGATTGTTACTAGTGAGATCGACACAAGGAATTCACCTCTCTACGAAGGACACATGACCAATCCAGAACTCCATTTAGGGTAATGCCACACTGTGGTGCTCCCTAGCTGAACAGTTAGGGGAACTTTAAGGGTGTGTCTAGACTACCTAGTTTTCTCGACAAAAGTGGACTTTTGTCGACAAAACTATACCAGCGTCTACACTACCGCTGAGTTCTGTCGACATAACGTCGACAGAACTCAGCAGTTTTGTCGACGCTGGTATACCTCATTTTACGAGGCATAACGCCTTCTGTCGACAGAACTCTTAACAGAAAGTGTTATTGCCTGTAACATTGCGTCCAGACTACGGAGTTCTGTTGACAAAGCAGCTTGCTTTGTCGACAGAACTCAATGTGTCTGGACGCTCTTTGTCGACAGAAGTTTTGTCGACAGTATCTGTCGACAAAACTTCCGTCGACAAAATGCAGTAGTCTAGACGTACCCTAAGTCCCATTTGCATCACCACAGCAGGCGCCCTTATGCTTTGGCTTTAAGCATTCATTCAAACTACCCATTTAATTGCACAGTTCAATTAGCCAGTAAGATTAGGGTAAATAGTCATTGTGAAAGACAGACACTATTATTACTGTTGAAAACTCATAATCACCAGTTATGTTCAAAGTGAGTGCCTACCTTTCAGATTGCTTTTACTTTTATATTAGATTATTCAGGCAAACTCTGCTGTGTGTTATTGCTGAGAGAGGGCAGTTTGTTGGATCAGCATTTCTTCTATAAACTGTCACTGAAAACCTGTATCAGCACTGTTCATGCTTCTGTGAATAAAGGGCTCTAAGACGTTCCATTATTAATTATGATTTTTAGGCGATTTTAATACCATAAACATTCTTGCAGGCTATAACTTAGTATATACTTCAGTTTAGGAAGCAATTTTTTTTGTTAATTTTCTTTTTAAATTGATTTAATGAGGACTCTTTTTTTTTTTAACTTTAACAGAGCATGCATATTTTTACATCTGTCAGAATTTTTGGGACCTTTCTTAAATGGATTTGTTTTTTCAAACGAAATTTTGCAAGTTATTGTGTGGATTAATATTGAGGAATGACTTAATTACATTATCTTTTAACATTATCAAACAAGAATTAATATAGTAAAGTTTCACAGGGCTAAAAAACCCACAAACAAATCACTTCAGTTGCATATGAATCTTTAACTTCCAGTCTTTATGACTTTTAATGCATGTCATACTAGTGTTCATGTGTCAAGTAGCCCTTACATAGGCGTATAGGGGTCTTAAAACGTCAACTCGAAGGACATTTACTTAATATGCCATCACCCTTTCAGGGTCTGAGCTAAAGCCCTGGAAGTCAAAGCGAAGGCTTCCACTGACTTCACTGAATTTTGGATCAGGACCTTCGTGAATGAATGAATGACAGGCTGTTAGAGAAACAACCTCATAATGGTTTGCTATACATTTTAGAGGCATTTTAATTTGACTATTTCATCTAAAATTTGAGATAAGTTTATGTTGTATGTTTATTAGACTGGTTAATTTAATTAGATCACTTCTGACACAATCAAGTATGGTTAGTGGGGAATTTTCCATGTGGATGGAGGGTATGGAAATGTACATACAGTTCTGTAGGGCCAGTGTGGAATGGGAATAGGGTTGCCATCCCTTCAGGATTGGCCTGGACTCTCCAGAAATTAAAGATTAATATTTATTTAAAGATTATGTCATGCGATTAACTCTCCAGGAATATGTCCAACCAAAATTGGCAGGCCTCGGTGAGAATGTTATGTGTACAGCCAACCCATTCACTCCCCCATCCTGTCCTAGTTCTAGACTGGTTCTTAAGATCTGTGGAGAGTACTCCACATGGTCTGGGAAGGAAACAATACTGCTATGGAAGCTCTACTGTGATGTGTATAATTCCTTTCACATCAGTGGCCTGCCTGTCAAAGGCCTAAATCAAAGCAGCTGCTTTTCTTGCGGACAGTAGATGTGATGAAATAATGGGGAGTTTCTCAGGCTGGAATGAGGAAGGGCTGATTCAATCTCAACAGAATGCTTCTAGTCCAACAATAATCATGTTAAAAATATCTATCATTAATGCTGTTGACTGGATTCTATCATACTTACTCCTTTTGAGTAACACTTGGCTTCAAAAGCAGCTACAGTGAAAATAAGGCAAACCAAGCTTGGGGAGTAAAAATCCTGAGGGGGGAGGAGTTTGCCTTTCTTTGAAGCATGGGGAACAGGTCACTTGGGGCACATCTACACTGCAGGGCAAAAGTCAAATTAAGCTATGCAACTTCAGCTACATCAATAGCGTAGCTGAAATCAAAATAGCATAATTTGTCTTCTGGTGCTGTCTACACAGCAGGAAGTTGAAGGAAGAACACTCTTCCTTCAACTTCCCTTATTCCACATGAAATGAGGGTTATAGGAGTCAGAGTAAGAAGTCCTCCATCTCAACATTATTTTGAAATAATGATTTGCTGTCTAGATGCTCATTTTGTTATTTCAAAATAATGTCAGTTATTCCGAAATAATGCTACTGTGTAGATTTACCCTTGTTTTGAGCTACAGTAAATGGTGGATTTTCTGTAACTTGGAATCTTAAGCTCAAGATTTGAGGATGTTTGTAATTCAGTCAGAGGGTATAGGTCTCCTGGAGTGGACAGGTCAGCTTCGGTAGTTGGCAATGTCCCAGAAGATAGATTAGATTATCTTGATGGGCCCTTCAGACCTTAAAGATAATGAGTCAATGTCACTGTTCAGAGTAAGGATGACACAACTGGCCCTTAGAGCTGGTCCAGTTTGTGAATGTTCTACAAATACTTGAGTATCAATTCACTTTGACTGGAATTGAGCACTAGACCTGGAAGGCTGGGTTAGGGTATGCCAACTCTAGATATTTTACATAGCTGGAGTTGACATACCTTAAACTGAGCTTAGCACAGCCTTCACATAGGGAGGCTGACAGAAGCAAATGTTCCTGTCTATTTCCATTACTCCTTTGACTGCCAGGAATACAAGTGCCGGCTGGAGACATCCTCAGTGTTCGATTTAGCGTGTCTGGATTTTTTGTGATATTCTTTGAATATTATCGAGTACTGAATATTTTCACAAGTATTGGGACTATTTCACCAGATGCTTCACAAAGCCAGAAAAGCCCCTTTTTTGTATTTTGGAAGTACAATTCAATCAGCTATGGTATTGGGTATCAGAAAATAGCTAACATAAAGCCATAAAAAATAGATGGCATTCATAGTTAGAACTAATATCAAATCTTTAATTTACCCATTTGCTTAAATATTGGAAACATCACTGAGACTACAACTAGAGTATAGGCTTCTTGCGCAAGAAGCTTTTTTCAGAAAGCGCTTCTGAAAAAACTTCTTGCACAAGAGAGCATTCACACTGCAAAAGCGCATTGTAAAAGCAATGCGCTTTTTCAAAAGATAGCGTCCAGATTGCCTGCATGCTATCTCACATGTAAACAGTGATTGCTATGGACAGAATGGCCACCAGAGCACCTGTGCTTTTTCCTCTTCCTTCTTCTTCCAAAAAACCTCTCTCTTCCCCATCCACACACACATTTTTGTGAAAGAGCTCTTTCACAAAAAGGCTTCTTCCTTGTAGAATGGGGATTACCAATTACGCGAAAAGCCCTCCATTCTTTTGATTTATTGTCAAAAGAACGTGCTTGCAGTGTGGACGTAACGCAAGTTTTGTCGGAAAAATAGCAATTTTTTTGACAAAACTCTGTAGTCTCGACATAGCTTAGGTCACTAATCTTTCAGGCTAACTTTTATATTGAAGAGGAAAGAAGGAACATGCAAAGTTCTGGTCTCGTTGATTCCACCAAAATGATCCTTTCTTGAATGAGCTTTCCAGTTCCTTTTTTTTATAGGTGTAAACTTGAGTTTTATGGTATACTTTTCAGTATGATATAAGGGGAATTAGCAAAGCCATTGTAATGGAATTATACAGCTAATTTCCATAATGGATCTGCTAATGTTATGTTATTCTGAGTTACTGAAACTCCAAATTTAAATGAAGTAATTTTGTAATACATTAAAAGGAAAAAGGGAACTAATGTGCTTGGATAATAAAACATTTAACAATGGTAATTTTGCCGTATGGAATTACTTGTTCATTGAAACCACATAGAGTGTTAATACTTTTTCAATAATTTTTCATTCTTGCCCTTCTGTAGCCTAACAAGTATGATGAAGTAAATAAAGCCCATACCTTCAGATCTCCTGATATATTGGCCCCTGCGAGAATGCCAGTAGCTGCTGGGAAGAAGATGGCAAAGACGGAGAAAAATCCTTCACCTCTGAAATCTGGTCCAAAATTTTCTGAAAATATTGAGGCTGCAAAGACAAATGAAAATGAAATGTATCTCCAAGCCTTGATTATGAAGTTATCTGATGTATAAATGAACTAGCCCTCCGCCTTAGGAAGAATGGGTTCCAATCTGTTGTAGCTCATAAGTGAAATGAATGGAATTTGATATGGAATCTCACTCTAGTTCCCTGCAGTGCATGTTTCTCCAAATCAAAAAACTACACCTCAGTATTGAAATAGCAGGCATGTTCCACATTCAGGTTAAAACAGACAATATTGTGTGTTCACATATAAATAATCCAAACTGCTAATGTCAGCTTCAGAGCAATTCACAGGTTCAAAAATAAAAATGGACTAAATCCAGTGACCCTGAAATATATTTTTAAAAATGGGTTAACTTAGTTTATATGCTCATTTATCTTAGGTTACAAGATCAGGTTTTCATCCATTCTGAATGGGAATTTTGCAGAACTAAAGGTTGCAGGAGTCAGCCAAAAATATTAATGTATTTTATATATTATTTAGTCATAGCAACACTTGCCTTGGTAATTAAAAAAGCCTCTTGCCTTCTTTTCATTGTTGGTTGGAATGACGGTCCCAATGAAGAAATTCACAATGGCAATCAGAAGAATGACTAGAAGAATTACTTGAGCCTGTTAACAGAGACAAAAGTGGACTCTTTCTTATTTTGAATACAGTGGTAGCTATGCCTGTAGTGGTATTTATGTAACACTTATTATTTATTTCACATTTATACAATATTAGAACAGACTCAGACACTGATTGAGCAGATGATTCAATAATAAGATGACTACATAGACAAACTGCCTTGAGCTCTGTGACAATAACAAATATTTTGTAACATGGAATGGATATGAAATATAGAAATTTATGGCCACCGCTTTATATTGAAGTCTGGTTCCTTTATAAGAAGAGGAAAAAAGAAACAGCTAATGAATAAATATTTAGATAAAGACATTTTATATTGCTTGTTTAGTTTCAGGAAATTGTTATAATATATAATTGACCACTCTTACAAGTGGCTGTCAATTCAGGGCAGAACATAAAGATAAGGCTGCTATTCTGGACCTGATTTTGAAAGGCACTTTCCACCCTCTTAGTTATATCAATTCCTTTATTTTGTGGGTATTTCTCCCATTAATACACATGACTGAAACTTTTACTATTTGTACTGCAGACAGGAAGGCATGTTGGATAGCAATGTAACAACTCACCTTTGAGCCAGAATTCTACATAGATTCAGCCTGGCTACACCATGCATTATTTTTATGATTATTATTATTTCTATAGAGCTATAAAGATAAAAGGGGCATGTACCCCAGGCTGTAGATGATCCTACCATAAATTACAAAAGCAAATAAAATTAAACTGCCTGTGGAACACAAAAACGCCTCTTTCTCCACAAATGTGGGTGTGAGGCAGAGAGAGAGCCCATCGCCTAACTGCTTCCACTGGCATCAATAGGTAGCTCCCATTTACTTCAAAGACAGCAGGTAAGCTAATGTTGAATGCTTTCCAAACTCCCATCTGTCGTATGTAAAGTTCTACCCCCCAAATCTTGTCTTATGCTTATATAACACATTCTGCGTCAAAATAATATTTATTTATATATAACTTTTATTGCTTACCTTTGCTTCCCATTCCATACCAGCCACAGAAATGCCTAAAAGAAGAACTACAGTAATGGAACCTATTATTCTGATGTCATTGGATTCATCCACCATCAATGCATCACTGCTCTGGAACAGGTAAAAACACAGTTTATATGCTAAGATGGATAAATCAGACAACCAGGTAAGATAGAACGGAATGAGTAAATTAGTTTCAGTGGTTTTATGATTTCCTGTGCTAGCTGGGACTTAGTAGTAAAAATTAGTGGTTGACTAATTAGGAACCTATTCCCGTTAGTGATTTTGAAGCCTTGTAGCACTATATAAAACACTTCTGATATAACTTAGAAGTGATGGAAAAGTGTATTAAGTAGGATTCATGGTTCATTTAGAGAGATCTAAATAACAGCCAAAGACTAAAGCATTTAGAAGGGGATTATCATTATACAAAGGTGACAGAATCCCCTGGTTTAACCACATGCCACAAATACTTATATATTTACCTTAAGAAGCTCTACAACAGTTTCAGCGAATCCAACTACATACATGGCTACTGCTACAGCATTGGCAAAGGCAAAGATAAGTCCTATTGATCCACCAAATTCAGGTCCTAAACTTCTTGAGATAAGATAGTAAGCTCCACCTGCCAACAGAAGAAACTGTTGCTTTAACATAATTCACCTATTGACAGATCTTGCTCAACTTACTCATGTGAGCAGTACCAATGAAAGTTTTGTCTTTTGCTTGAGAAATGCAAGTAGGATTTGCCCAGTTAATGGAGAGGAGCAAAAGTATGGGTGGATGGACCCAGGAAACTGCAAAAACTCAGCATTTGGAACTTACTACATAATTTCAAATATTACGTATTGAAAATGACTAGCTCTTGGATTCATTGATATCTTTTTAGCATATATTAGTTGGTATGCAAACCAGAAACTAATTATATATAGTTAAAATTCTGACACTGTATAAAAAACATCATCACTGAAAGGTTTTTTCCTTACCTGGTTCCTCCCATTGTTAGCGTAAACATTCTTTCATCAATATACAAACATGCACAATACATTCCCTAAATATTTCACAAAGTTAAGCCATAAAACCTGAAATTTGTTTGTATTTCTACATAGGTGGAACCTCAATTAATCAATTAGATAGTTCCTCCTATCATAATGAGCCATAATGTTTAATATTAGAATGTTTTAAAATCAACGTTTCTGAAGAGATGTTGTTTTGGAGTTAGCTCAGTAAAAGATTGTGTTTTCTTACTTTATATTATTGGGCTAACACCATTACAATCTCTCTATTTTGTTCTAAATCAGTACTGCAGACTTCCATATTTTCCATACAGTTATATTTACGTACCTCCTCTTACTACTCCATTAGTGCAAATGGCAGACATTGAGATACCTGTTAATGTTGTTACTACCACACTCAGCATAATAACCACGATTCCAAGACCTGAAAAATCCCAAAAAGAATATATTCAACCTAAATACCTGCTCAGCACTTGAATCCTGTAGTTAGAAATCACCATCATCCACTGCGAGAAAAACAGCAGGTGTACCTTCAAGACTCTGAAATGCACTAAACTTTTAGATACAACAAATTTCATGAAGTACCTGAAATATACTAGACTTTAGGATTGCACCAAGAGTAATCACTTACGTTCCAAGAAGCACCTGAAATGTAAAAGGATTCTATAAGGAAATGTGCCGGAAATGATAAAAGTTAATGTGTCCGTCAATTTTCATCAGCCTTTAAGCTAAAGGAAATGAGGCTCATAATGTTCCCTCTCACCAGGAAATGCAACCTGAAATGCTCTGAATAAGAAGCATTAAAAGAGTAAGAACAAAAGAACTCCAGGGCAAAATGGAATCCATTCCTCCTCCAGCCTTGGACAGGAACATCTGAAACGTACTTCAGAAACTGAAGTGAAACCTGGATTTATTAGAATAGCACTCAGACATTCTAAAATTGTGGATAGTGTTGGCTAGATGTATTACCTGCTGGCTGTCCTCCAGTCTAGGTGTCCAGTGATGGCATTTTAGGAAATAAGACTTCTGGTTTCTCTTATAATTTAATATACTAAAACCTTTTTGAGTCTTGAGAGCATAAGAAACCCTAAAGATTTTACCTCCACGGACAAACCCATTAGTTGCTATTGCAGAAGTTGACAACCCAGTAATTGAGGTTACTGTGGTGGCAAGAAGAATTATGACAACTCCAAGACCTGTCGGTAATGAAAAGATAAAATATTTTATTTGTGATCCATATTCCTCTAGTCTAAATCATTCTGTCTTTAATTTAAACTTTCAAACCAGAATCAGAGCTCTGAACTGAAATGATAGTTTGTAGACCATTGTCTGTCAGCAATTCCACCTGGTCCCTGTAGCTACTTTATCACAATAGCAAAGCATCCATCAGTCTTCAAGCAGTGAAGTTTGCTGATAGTAGTCATGGACCCTCTCATTATTTCTAGAGATTTTCTTGAAACTAATAGAAATAATAATAATGAAAAAGCAACTCTCTTGGGTGCCTCCTGCCTTTCTTTGATCAATCCCTTGACAATACAAAAATTAAGCGACCAAGCAATGTTATAATTTCTTTTTTTCTTGAATTGATGGTTGGAATAAACAAGCTATACTCATTTTAGAGAGCCATATTTCAGTCATGGGGTTAAAAATGTGTCTTGGGCAAGTTTTATTTTTCTCTGTACAAGAAAATGTTATAATTTGGTTTCCATTTTATTCTGCTTTGTCATATCACTCCTATTACTATGGTATCTGACCAGCTGATGGGCCACAACAATAGTACATGAATATGCACCTTTGTCAAGTGTCTGCTATACATTTAGCCTTGATCATAGTAACAAATGACCTCAAGGTAGAGGGTTAGCAAACACAGAAAAATAACTCAACCAAACTGCACTTTGTCTGCAGAGGTAAGAACAAGAAGGGGAGATTCCTTGTTAAAAATGCAAAGTACTGAATACAGTGAGAGACAATAAATTGCACGGGTGTGCCGTAAGATAGAAATATATAAATACGTGTTACACTTAGCATTAACAAGAGTTCACTTTCATTTGCTCATCTTAGCATTGTATTGTCCTAATGTTCCCTTTCATGTAAAGAATTACCATAGTTACTGTAGGGAAGAGTTGGGTTGGAATTAGAAAAGGATGTAGCTCTAAGAGAATCTTCATTTTAATAAGAGGACAAGAAAATTTAAATTTTGAAATCCATTTTTAACTAAAATTCAGCATACTGTGGAATTACGTGTGACTAATCAAATACTTGGAGGGTTATTTTAGTAAAAATGAACCTCAAACATTTCCAAGATTCTTTTCAGTTCAGGTAGTCTGAGTGGTTTTTCTGGGCCTCATTCACACAATGCTATACATTGCAATTTGCAGGTTCTCTTAAGCCTGCAAAACCAGACTAGAAAGCACATGAAATAGGTCTTCCTCTGAGGTTTTTCTTCCAGACTACTTTTTTCCTTCTAGTTGAGCAAGAAATATTATAACAACTTTTCTCTTATTTTGTCGGTTATATTGCTGGAAGCATATTAAAATGACAGACTTTCACTTTAAGCATGAGGGATTTCCTGCACTTTCTTCAACTCTGAAGGGAGCCAGATGATCTGGATTATCTGAGTCTGTAGTAGATAGCCAAGCTGGAAGGAAGAAATATAAGGGAGCTGTGCTTTGTTGTTTGTTTTTTCTCTGTCCTGGGATTTTGTGTGGAGGTGTTCTGAATTCTAAGAAATTAGGTAGTGTTAAGTTGCAACCTTCTAAGAAGAGTATTTCTGTTTTTATCTAATTTCTCTGTTTTAATGCTGTTAATATAATATTTGCATTTCTGCCAATACAGAGGAACAAGAAAAGTTTTGGTTCAAGTCTGAGGCAAAATCTGAAACAATTCTTATCTGTATCTGAACTTCTTCATGCTTCCCTGCTTGAGCATTTCCTGGCTCTGTAACTCTATTGCTCCTATTAGGTATATGCATTTTCACTTTAAAATGGAAGGCTTCAGTTAGTCTGTAGCAGTAAATATTGGCCATGGCTGGTCTGAACTGAAACATGGATACTGTAACTAGCAAATCATTAGAGATATAATGTATGGCCTTATCTGCCCTAGTTCTACCTCCTGGCTTCATTTCAGATCAGATAGCTGACTTCATTTCATAGTGGATTCTTATAGCTATCTAATCTGCAAATAAATGTTCTTTGTTTATAAAATTATACAGAACTTTAAGACAGAGCAACGTAGTGAAGGAGTTGATATGTAGCGTAAGGTTAGATAGCCTAAATGATACATCACCCTTATACTATTGACTCGTGAGTTTTAATTTTAATCCAGGATGTATCTATTTGGTATAGATTTCTGAATACAAAGTTAGTTCTTTGGCCCATATCCAATTATAGTCTGTCCACACAAATTCATAGAATAGAAGAATCAAAGAATCATAGAATATTAGAACTGGAAGGGACCTCAAGAGGTCATCAAGTCCAGTCCTCCTGCCCCCAAGGCAGGACCAAGCACCATGTATTGTAGATCATCCCTGATAGATGTCTAAGTATCTCTAGTAATGGATATTCCACGACCTCCATAAGCAATTTATTCCAGTGTTTAACCACCCCGACAGGAAGTTTTTCCTAATTTTCAATCTAAACCCCCTTGCTGCAATTTAAGCCCTTTGCTTCTTGTCCTATCATCAGAGGACCAGTAGATCAATTTTTCTCCTTCCTCCTTGTAACATCCTTTTAGATACTTGAAAAGTGCTATTCTGTCTCCTCTCAGTCTTCTCTTTTCTAAACTAAAACAAGCCCAGTTCTTTCAGTCTTCTTTCCTAGGTCATGTTCTCTAGACCTTTAATCATTCTTGTTGCTCTTCTCTGGACCTTCTCCAATTTCTCCACGTTTTTCTTGAAATGTGGTGCCCAGAACTGGATACACTACTACAACTGAGGCTTAATCAGCACAGAGTAGAGCGGAAAAATGACTTTTCATGTCTTGTTCACAATACTTCCATTAATGCATCCCAGAATCATGTTTGCTTTTTTTGCAACACGGTCTCACTGTTGACTCATATTTAGTTTTGATCCATTATGACCTCTAGATCCCTTGCTGCAGTACTCCTTCCTAGACCGTCGCTTCCCATTCTGTATGTGTGAAACAGATTGTTCCTTCCTAGGTGGACTACTTTTCATTTGTCCTCATTAAACTTCATCCTGTTTACCTTAGTCCATTTCTCTAGTTTGTCCCGATCATTTTGAATTATGAACCCATCGTCCAAAGCAGCTGCAACCCCTCCCAGCTTGGTATCATCTGCAAACTTAATAAGCGTACTCTCTATGCCAATATCTAAATTGTTGATGAAGATATTGAAAAGAACCAGTCCCAAAACAGACTCCTGTGGAGCCCCACTTGTTATGCCCTTCCAGCAGGATTGTAAACCATTAGTAACTTCTCTCTGAGAATGGTTGTCCAGCCAGTTATGCACCTACCTTATAGTAGCTCCATCTAGTTTGTATTTCCCCAGTTTATTGATAAGAAGGTCATGTGAGACCGCATCAAATTCTTTAAAAAGTCTTGGTATACCACATCCATCACTTCTCCCTTATCCACAATACTTGTTATCCTATCAAAGAAAACTATCAGATCGATTTGACATGATTTGTTCTTTACAACCCCCCTTATTACCTTCAAGTTGTTTGCAGGTGAATTCCTTAATTACTTGTGCCATTATCTTTCCTGGCACAGAAGTTAAACTGTCTGGTCTGTAGTTTCCTGGATTGTTCTTATTTCCCTTTTTATAGATGGGCACTATATTTGCCATTTTCCAGTTTTCTGGAATCTATCTCGACTTCCATGACTTTTCAAAGATAATCGCTAAAGGCTCAGATACCTCCTCTATCATCTCCTAGGGTATTTCAGGATGCATTTCATCAGGCCCTGGTTACTTGAAGACATCTAACTTTTCTAAGTAATTTTAACATGTTATTTTTTTTAATTTTAACTTCGAAATCTACCCCATTTCCACTAGCATTCACTATGTTGCTCATCCAGTCACCACCAATCTTCTTGACCAAAAAAAAAAAAAAGAAAAGAAATAAAGAAGTCGTTAAGCACCTCTGCATTTCCAAGTTTCCTGTTATTGTTTCTCCCTCTTCACTGAGCAATGGGCCTACCCTGTCCTTGGTCTTCCTTTTGCTTCTAATATATTTGTAGAATGTCTTCTTGTTACCCTTTATGTCTCTAGCTAGATTAAGCTCATTTTGTGCCTTCGCCTTTCTAATCTTGCCTCTGCATACTTGCGTTGTTTGCTTATATATTCTTTGTAATGTAACCTAGTTTCCGCTTTTTTATATGACTTCTTTTTTATTTTTAGATCATTCAAGATCTCCTGGTTTGGCCAAGGTGGTCTCTTATCATACTTTTTATCTTTCTTACACAGTGGTATAGTTTTCTTTTGGGCTGTTAATAATGTCCTTTTGAAAAACTGCCAACTCTCTTTATACTGAATTCAATGGGTATTTTGCATGCTGGTGAATGGCAGGATCTGACTTTTTAATAAACGGTTAACTCATTAAATTGAATAATTTAGACATATCACTCTAAGTAGATTGGATATTTTCCCTGTAATTAGTATAAAGTACCATCCAGAGCTTTGCAATTACATTTTGATATAACATACTTTATCAAAACAAAGGTAGTAAATAAGTCTATATATATTCTGCTCATTAGACAATCGATGTGTCTGGACAGAATGTGTTACTAATTCGGAATAGAAGGAAACATTCAACAAGCACAGTGCAAGGGATAAATGAGCTAGGCAAAACAAAAAAGTTTGAATATTATTCATTTCATTATTATATTATAACATTTTGAGTAATATTTTCTAATGGTCTACACTTGACCCTTTTTCTCACCTCTGTCTAACTACCAGGTTTTGGGGATCTGCAAAATGGCAGGTGCCAATTAGCATGATGGTTTTGTAACTGTAACCCTCTCAGCAGGAGATTTAACTACTCTTTTCATTGTTGATAAGGTTCTCTAATCATAAGAATTGTGTCTCAACATATTTTTTCCTCTTTAACAACTTGCACCCAAGACAACTTAGCAAGAAAATGGTTTGCTCTCTTCTCCCTTCTAATAATAGGGATATGAATGGGGCCCAGATGGTAGTGTAACTGACTCATTTAAACTTCCATTTTAACAGCAGTGACCAGTGAAATTCCCAAGCCATTGTGATGAAAAGCTTCTACTGTCCTTAAATAAATTTCTCTTGAGACATAATGCTCATTGCTTATAGAATATTCAGAAAGTGCATTGGGAGATTATTCAAACAGAATTCAGTGTCCCGTTTTAAAACCGAAACTGACCCGCTTACATACAAGACATGTCATTTAAATAAAACAACGAAGCAATAAACAATAAGAAGGGAGGGTTTGATTCTTAGTGAATTACAAGTGTAAAATGAAATGTGAAACCAAGGGCCATGGTAACTGCTGTTGTGCAAAGTAATGTTAAGATCTGATTAAAGTTCATATTGAAACCCAGACATATGGATGTTAAGTAAATCACATTAAAATGAATTACTCTTGCCTATGGCTATTCTCACACCTCAGAACAAAGTAATGCTTCTTGATGATCTCAATAAGTTACTAAATTGCCCTTAAAAACTAATTTTGCATGAAGCCCGGGAGCAAAGTCTTGGCAATGTTAAGATGCAGAGTTTTCATGGAAAGGCATACACTTATGCATGGCCTATGGCTGCAAAACCTCATTTGGTATGCATCATAAAATCAGCAAGTACCCTTTTGTCAGGGCCAAGCATAGTACTGGAGCCAAATGTGGAATATTTTAAACGTAGGCAGAGGTCTTTCATTTTCTTTCAGGAACTTCCTTGACTTTTCAACCATACTTCTGAGTTTATGCTGTTTTTCTCTTTTCAGGAGATCTGTTACACAAAGACTTCTTAATTGCAAATTAAGTGTTCAATCTAGCAATCCTTACTTAAGCAAAACTTCCATGATGCCAATGGAAATGTTGCCTGAGATGAGATTTTGGTCCCTGAAAAGCTTTTGAAAGGGTGCTTGGATCTGAAGTTTTCCTTCAGACTAAATATCCAGTCCCCATTTAGATTCTGAATCACTCCAGAGATCAGGCATGGTCAGACTATAGATTCAAAATTTTAGTTAAAGTTATTCTATAATACCCATTTACATTAAGATAAAACAACCTTGATGGGCTATTGTAAGGTGGGTGCGTAGCTGGCTGGATAACCATTCTCAGAAAGTAGTTATTAACAGTTCACAATCATGCTGGAAGGGCATAACAAGTGGGGTTCCGCAGGGTCTGTTTTGGGATTGGTTTGGCTCAATGTCTTCATCAACGATTTAGATGATGGCATAGAGAGTATGCTTATTAAGTTTTCAGATGATGCCAAGCTGGGAAGAGATGCAAGTGCTTTGCAGGATAGGATCAAAATTCAGAATGATCTTGCAGACAAACTAGAGAAATGGTCTGAGGTAAATAAGACAAAGGACAAATCCAAAGTACAAAGAACAAATGCAAAGTACTCCACTTAGGGAGAAATAATCAGTTTCACACATACAGAATGGGAAGTGACTGTTTAGGAAGGAGTATTGCTAAGAGGGATTTAGGGTCATAGTGGACGACAAGTTAAACATAGTTCAACAGTGTGACACTGTTACAAAAAAAGCAAACATAATTCTGGGATACTTTAACAGGAGTGTTGTGAGCAGGACACAAGAAGTCATTCTTTTGCCTTATTCTGCTCTTATTAAGCCTCAGTTGAAGTATTGTGTCCAGTTCTAGGCATCACATTTCAAGGAAGATTTGGAGAAGGTCCAGAGAAGAGCACAAAAATGATTAAAGGTCTAAAAAACATATGTGAAGGAAGACTGAAAGAATTGGGCTTGTTTTAGTTTAGAAAAGAGAAGACTCAGAGGGGGGACACAGGAGTTTTCAAGTATCTAAAAGAGTGCTACAAGAAGAATGGAGAAAAAATGTTCTCCTTGGCTTCTGATGATAGGACAAGAAGCAATGGGCTTAAATTGCAGGAAGGGAGGTTTAGGTTGGACATGAGGAAAAACTTCCTAACTGCCAGGGTGGTTAAACACTGGAATAAATTGGCTAGGGAGGTTGTAGAATCTCTATCACTGGAGATATTTAAGAGCAGTTTGGATAGACATCTATCAGGGATTATCTAGACAGTGCTTGATCCTGCTGTGAGGGCTGGGGACTAAGGATATTAAGGATTAGTTGACTAGTCCATTTCCCCCCATCCTTGCTCCCTCTATGAAATAGAGGCAGGAAAGTTGGAGAAAGGGGTACTTCAAAGTCGTAGTGCCACATAGTTGAGCCGCGGCTCAGCTGTGTGATGGCTGCCCCTTTAAAACACCAAAGCACCATGGAGCCTGGGGTCAGCTGGGGACTCCTCAGCTAACCCCAGGTTCCGAGTGGCATTTCCCCAGAACCTGGGATCAGCTTGGAACTCCCCAGCTGACTCCAGGTTCTGGGGAAATGCTGCGTGGACCCAGGCTCAGCTGGGGAGTCCCCAGATGACCTCGGGCTCCACAGCTGCCCTTTGAAATGCCAAGGTAGCGTTTCAAAGGTGCAGCGGCCACACAGGTGATCCCGGGCTCAGCTGTGCGGCACTGCCCCTTTAAAATGCCAAGGCGATGTTTTAAAGGAGTGGCACCGCACAACTGAGCCGGGGATCTGCTGTGTGGTGGCTGCCCGTTTGAAATGCTGCCTCAAAGGGGCAGCACCATGGAGCCCTGAGCCCCGAGGCATTTCAGCAGAGCCTGGGGTCAGCTAAAAGCCAGCTAGTTTCTAGCTTATGTTGTAGAGACACATCTTAGGCCTTAAGGTTCCAGGTTCAATCCCTCTTGCTGATGACCTGGATCTGTCAGCTCTACATAAGCCACCAGTGTAAAAAGGCAAATGTGATGCTTGGATGTTTTAGGGAAAGCATTTCCAATAGAGCTAGAACTAATGACATTGTCCAGGGCACTGGTAATATTCCACATCAGATCTTAGGTACAATTCTGGTCACCCATGTTCAGGAAAGAGTAATTTAAACAGGAACAGAGAATAGCTACTAGGGCAGGTAGGCCATGTCTACACTAGGAAATTATTTTGAAATTACTAAATTTGACTTAATAATTCCTGAGTTAGCAAATTCAAACTAGCATGTCCACACTGCGGGGAAGCCTTGAAATTAGTCTGAGGCAGGTGCCATTAATGTTGATGCACTACCTCGGACTTAGAGCCCCAGGAAGAATTGGGGAGTAATTAGTTTGAATTACTCTAGGGATTAATTTATTTTGAAATAGCGGCACCAGAGCATCCACACTGCCGTTATTTCGAAATAACTATTTTGGAATTAGCGTTACTCTTGTTGAAAAGTAGGAGTACAGATTTTGAATTCCTCAGCCCATTAGTGTGGTAGTGTGGATGCTCTGCTTATAAATTTGATCTTGGGAGTGGGGGTTATTTCTAAATAAAGTCTCAGTGCAGATCAGGGCTTAGAGTGATGGATACATTAGGAAGTAAATACCAGGGAGGGTGAAGAGTTATTTAAGCTAGAAGGGTATAAGAACATATGTATATAAATTAGCCATGCACCAGTGCAGGCTGGGAATTAGAAGTAGGGGAAGACAGTTCTGGTACAACCTCCTAATAGGAGCTGTGAGGGAAACAATGAGTTTGAGAGAGTTGGACAAATATAAGTGCAATTGTATAATGTGGCGTATGATGGGGGTGGGCAAGGTTCAACAATTCTGGGCTCACTTCTAGTTTATATCTACTATTCCTCAAGGTCTTGCTTCAGGGTCCCTGCTGACCACCGGCAGCGGTTCTGAAGGGATTCCTTCTTCCTTCCCCCAATATATTCTGGGAGGACTTTTCTTAATTCCTTCCTCTGAAGCATCAGAGATGGCCATGACTGGTTATGAATCATAGGATGGGGTAGACCAGGGTTCTGAGCTGGCATCAAGCCTTCTCTCTCACAGCCTTCTTGCTCATATGCTCAGGATCTAACTGAATGCCATATGTGGAGTTGGGAGGAAATTCCCCTATCACTTCCAGAAAGGATTAGTCTTCCTCTGCAGGATGTGGATGTAGGTTACTTGCCAGGATTTTCAGGGTATATTTTAATAATTTCCCTGGAATTGCAGGGCTGTAGAGTCTTGGTGCACCTTGTCCCTCCTATTCTCTTGCCTGTACATATAATAATCTAGTCTTCTAAAGGCTGTAATACTGTGGTCTCATTTGCTTGTTCAGTTGTTGGGTTTAGGGTGCTGGTGCTGGGTGGTTGTGGAGGTTTGTGATATACAGGAGGTCAGACTAAATGATCTGATGATCCCTTCCAGCCTTAACCTCCGTGATATTCTGATTTTACATTCTTGAATAAAAGCCTGATGCTATAAAGTGGTGAAGACCCTGTGAGGTGGTGAGCACACTCATCTCTCATTGACTTCAGTGGGAATTAGGGTACTCAATACCAGGCAGAATAGAGCCCCCAGGGTCCTACTCGCACTGAAGTTGATGTGTCATTACATTATATTCAGTGGGTAGGATGCATTTACAATGGATCCTGAACTGCAGAATGTACTTTGTTAATTTATTTGAAAAGTATAGTTGAGTTTTAATAAGCTATTTCATGGTGTCACCAGTATCTGGCTCTGCATTGTAGTTAAAAATAGTGTGTGAATGACAGTTTGGGTTTATGGATTAGCAAAGTATGAAGTAGAAAGGTCAACTGTACATGAGAATGCATATTATTAATCAGCTTCAGCTGTGAAGTTTAGAACTGTTACTGATTCTAAATACAACATTTCACCAAAGCTGGGGATTGTTAGATGTTTGTGTGTATATTTTACACACACACATCCTGCTAAGTAGTAATTTGTCTGGGAGTCTGGAAAATTCTAGTAGGAAGACTAGTTGGAAGACCAAAGTTAGTGCATCAGGTAAACACACATTTCAGATTACATATTAATTGTGTTCATGTATAGTTTCTACCTTTTATTCTTTATGCTGTTCAAAATGATATTGAAAAAATACATACCAATTCCGGCTTGACCTACAATCCAGGACAGTCGAATGAAAAGCATCACTCCCCAGATATTCAACATGCATCTCACCTAAAATTTAAACAAATAATGTTGCTTCACTATAAAATTGCGAACGGTATTATGATTAGCTAGAAACTTGATACGGTACATTGCAGAAAATTAGTAGTCTTTTTAAAATCATAATCCCTCTGTTTTTAAAGGAAATTTATAATTGCTAATATCTTAATTTTTGTACTTTTCTGATAGGAAGATTTATGTTTCTCTCACCAGCACACCTTTCACCCATCCAAACTTCACGAATCCCCCTTTGCTTTCTTCTTCCTTGTTAGCTGTTGCTTCTTCTCCTGGAGAACCATCTCCATTTGTAACTCTGTCGATTGAACCAGGGTTCACTGCTATATTCTAAAAGATCACACACAAAACACATACATTCTGTACAGTTGATAAACAATATACCCAGCAGGTGACAACTAGCTACATATGGAACACATGAAAAATAGGGATTCAAAATAAAATTGTATTTTGCTTTCTTTGTAAGAGAATGTTATCCTCTTACTCTCACTAAATAGTAGCAGAAGTACTCAAAATATAATCACAATGAATAAATGTATTATAGCCTGGACTTAAACACTGTTTATTTGTGTTTATGGGTAAGTATTAACAGCGTACAGTGTATATATATTATACATATATCTCTGTATAACATATGGTATACTGAGGTCCTGATGTGGCTGGTCTCTAAATGGCAATGAAATGTAAATTATTGTTATTCATAATAAATATATTTTATATAAAATAAGAATTAAAGCTGACTAAAGAAATTAGCTTTTGTTGACTGCTACTTGGCAAATAATTTATTTGGTGAATTCCATATTAATTGAATAATCTGTTCTACTGTTTGATTAGCTATAATAGAAGTATAATTATACAAAGTCAGGTGCTGGCTTACTGATGCCATAATCACATGCCAGATGCAGAGTTCGTGTGTGCTCATTGACATTGAAAAACTTCCACCATACACATATTAGAATGGTGCCTGAACCAGTATCTCAGAGTTTTGGGAAAGTTCAGATCTGGATGTACAATAGGATCTATCTCTGTTTCTCTGATAGTACAACCCAAAACTCCAGTGCCCTGCCCCTTAGCTCTTGAGAAACGTCAGCTTCTGGTCTGCAGCTTGCAGCTCACAGAGGAATATGTTGTGGTAGAGGATTGTACCAAGCAGCCATTGATTGGTCAGGTAGTATCTGTGGACCAGTGTAGAAACTATATCCCTAACCTCTAAATTATGCTTCTTTGCTCTCCTCTGAGTTTCATCATATAAAGAGCCTCTAGGTTGAACCTCTCTAGTCCAGTACTCTTTGGTCCGGCAACATCTGTGGTCCAGCATGATTTTAGTTAGCCTGTCCACTTATCATGGGTGTGTGCAAGTTTCCCATGGGCCCATAAAGTTTGTTTACAGCCACTAGTCCTGTTCTCAGTGTTCTGTGCTGTTATGCAATTCTGATTAACCCTTATATATCTTGTAAGGAGCCTGTAATTAGTGGAAATGCTAGTAATGCTGCTAAACAATATTGACCTCTCATGGTTCAGCAAATTCTCTGGTTTGCCACTGGTCAGGTCCTGAGAATGCCGGACTAGAGATGTTCAACCTGTAAAAGTTTCTGGGAGAATCAGCATAAGGATAGACAACATCCAGGTACAGGTTATGCCCTGTGTGAAGAGGGATACATGTTCTTGCAGGCTTTTATGAGTTTAAATAATTTGTTGTGGTAAGTGAGAAGATTAGGGAGATAGAAGTTGGTATTCAGGGAGCTGTGTGTGTGTGGGGGAGGGGGGGAGGAGTGTAGGTGAAGGAGATAGGAGGATGTAAAAGAAGGCCACCAGTGTGAAGAAATCATGGGCCCTTGGTAGGAAGAGAAAAGTGTATGGGGAAAAGGAGTTAGAGAATGGGCTTTGTGCTGCCACTTTATTGGCAAATGTATAGAGTATGTTCCCACCATACAGTGCAACACAGTGTGTGTTGCATATTGTCAGCTGGCATGTGCATGCCCAACTAGAATTTGACCATAGCATACATTTATATGTATTCATGTAGAAATATATAATGTATAAGAATTTACTGTATGTGCTGTACATGTAATTAAAACAGTGAAGAACTTATAATAACACTACAGAAACATACTTCATTACAGCCATTAACACACTAAGAGCAATGCTCTTTATCTCACATCTTATAAAATCAGGAACATCTACTCACAATGAGCCTCATACACTTAACGTTGTATCATAAAGTAGAAGCACCTCTGCTTATGAAAGGCAGTGTACTTCAGGGGATGGGTTACCTGACTGGGAGTCAGGAGAAGTGAAATCTACTGCTGGATCTGCCATTCAGTCAGTGTTTGATATTGAGCAAAACCAAAATTTCCAAAAGTGGCCTCTAATTTTAGCCACCTCAGTTTTTGAGACTTGAGACTTATGCCATCTTATTTTCAAAGGTGCTGAGCACCCATAATGCCAAGTTAATGGGAATGAAGTATGTGTGTTGTGGAAAATTCAGGCTTAGCTCTGACCTCAGATACAACAAACAATAGATAGTTTTGTTATATATACACCTGCATATCAGACCAGACTGTGTTCTATATTCTCCTACTAGTGCTACCTATTACCTTATCTGATGAAGAGGAACAATGCTGAACTTCTTTGGAGAGAATCTGTGGGGGTGATTTTCAAAACTATCCATGTGATTCAGGAGCACAAACCCCATAGAAAGTCTGAGAGTTGTGCTCCTAAATCACATAGGTGCTTTAGATAGTTCCACCTCAGATAACAGTGTCTATGTACACTCAAAATACAGTCAGTTGTTAAGGAGAAGCGAGGGGCACTAGCTGCCATAATTCTGTTTGTTGCACATTCATGGGATTAAGTAATCAAAGACATAAAGGTTCTGGCATTGCCACTTGAAACCAGTTGTTTCTTACATACTGGGAATTAATTTGTGCTTTCACATTCCATTGCTGTAAATTATGGTCCTAAACCTTCCATTATGCATTTTAAATTGGAGTGCTTTAGGGAATGATTATTTATTTACCAAATGGCTTTACCTGGGCAATTCATGCATCAAGGATAAGGAGTAAAGGTGACAGAACATTTCAAGAAGTCACCTAAATCAAAAGTTATTGCTCTTTTTAACATTTTCCCTTCCTCATTTCAGAATATTTCAGCTTTAGTATCATGTGAGGCTAGTAATGATGTGAGCATCCAATCTACATAATAAGTGTGGAGAACAGCCAAGGAGATGAAGGAAGGTTAAATTATTTTTATGGTGGGGTAACTGTTAGACCCAAGCAATTCTCACCCACTACCAGCTGTGAAATAGTTCTTACAAAATAGTTCTTTAACTATAATTGGCATTTTGGAGCTTATTGTGAGCTAAAAGTGGCACATCTTGCTAAAAGATGACACACGTTTTGATTCCAGTAGTGAAGGAGCGGGATCTCAGAGGTTCCTTTCAGCCTGCTTAAATTCTGACATCAGAAAAATTATACATTTTTTAAAATGTATTAAACATGAATGTTTCATCTTCTGATGTTAAACCAGCATCAGAGCACAATAGGAAGGCTTATGTTGGACTCAGACAGCTGGAGTCATAAATTATGTCGCTTCTTGCCACCCACAGTAGGCTCCGACAAGCCAATTATGTTTGACAACTTTGTTTGGCTTTGTTGTTTGAATCTAGGTTTCTCCTAGTGAGATGTGCTTGCCTCCATATGAACTGCACTGTGACAAATAGGTGTAGGTATGTAATTCAGCAGCCAGGTATGGCGCACACTCTGCATGAAACACTAGCAGTGGTGCAGGATTACAGGGCTTTGTGTGGTACATTGTATGGGGTTTGTATAGTGGTCTTATGGCTTACAAATTTAGGCTTAATGTATTTAGTAAGGCCAATATCCTTCCACAAAAGCACAGCAAGGGCTGCTAATGTAAGCCACACCACTCAGTGTGATGCTCTGTCCCACTTTAGTGGAGACTGGTCCATATATAGAGATTGATGAGCCTGTTAAGCCAGCACTAACAGATAGGAGTAACACCAGAGAATGCATACTGCAAATTTCTTCCTCACCCCAGTGTATGACCAGTCATAGAAGCTAGTTTTCCATGTTTGCTACTCCATCCTTCAGAACCACCATTAGAGTTTTTAAACAACAGGTTGACTCACATAATAAGTTCCTTCTACACTATGGTTAGTAGGAGCTAAAAGGGCTGGGTTCCACTGCTAGCAAGATGGGCGTACCTTGTGCAGTCTCTCTAAGTCCTTTAAGCACTATGTTTGGGGGAGGGGGAAGAGGGCAGTAGACCTTGGAGCCTCTGACAGGTGATCCTGACTGGTTTGGCCAAGAGGCTATCAAGTGCCACCATTTCAGCTGCCTCGCCCTCCCACTGCTACTCCTCTCCTGCCCTTTGCCTTGGAGCTGCCCCTCCCATGGGAATTCTCCTGCTTTCTGTGGGTGGCAGGGGGTGCTGATGTCAACATGCCCCTCCCACTCTGTATCCTTTCTCCACAGAGCACAGAGGGTGCACAACAGGACTTGGGAGGGAATTTGCTGGCTACTTTTGGGAGTGGTCCAGGGCAAGGGCAGGGGTGAGCCTGCCTTAGCTCCACTGCACCACCACCCAAAAGCCACCTGAGGTAAGCAGTGCCCAGCTGGAGCCCACATCCCAAATTCCTACCCCAGTCTTAACCCCCCACCTCCCGCACCCAAAGCCCTGCACCTCTGCATCCAAATGCTATCCCAGAGATGCTGTGAAGATTCTGAAATGAGCCAGACTGTTCTTGCTTTGACACTCACTCACTAAAAAAACCTCAGAGAACAAAATAAACAGCTACATTCTGTAAACAAAAACTGGTATCCAAACTGAAAAGCTGTCCAGCAGCAAACCTCTGACTGAATTAAGTTATCATGGTCAAGCTTTAAACCCCATAACACCTGGGTTTCACTGTACTGCTTCACATGCACCAATGTATTTATATAATACAAGAATTTATCTGAGAATGGAAGGCGAGATTCTCCACTCTCTTGTCCCCTGAGTTTTCACTTATACATCAGAAAAATGAGTGGAGCTACCAAATTGGAATTCTCCACTTATTTACACCAGGGATAGTGTTTTATACTCACTTGGCATTCATAATGCATAGCAGTAAATGACTGTGCAAGGGACCTGATTCTCATTTATATTAAGCTCAGGCAGGGTGCTTATTGTAAATGGGAGTCCCAATGTGGGAGATGGGAGTGAATCAGGCCCTGATTTTCCAAATGGTTAACTTTAGGCTTGATTTCAGTACTGCTAACTGACCCTTTCTGGGATGGGTGAACCTCAAGAGGTTTGGAGTTTGAACT